CTTGTTCTCTTCGTCATCGACGTCCCGATAATTCATAAGTTATTCCGGGTATTGCACCTTTTCTGGGACATGCCCAAAGTTTTGCATGCTACAGCATATACTACTGTCATTTCGCCAGTTGAAAATGTACTTATCTCACGGACACCACCGGCAGTTTATCTGGATGTATGTTAAAAAACCATGTTAAATCTACAAAGGTATCTGAAAACCTTGCTACATTTTCAGTAAATAACGATAGAAAAAATATAGAATTTGATTCAGTCATTTGAATACAGTCAGTGGATACATGGGAACGTCAAGGAACCCGCTACAGAATCAACCCCCCTACAAACAGTTCTAGCAAGCAGTAGCACAAGGCAGCAAAATGTGTCTCTCCATAGCCGGAAGATTTGTAACTCACGAACTCTCTTAATGGCTGCTACCTCACATACGCAAATATCACGTGTACGACCACGACTAAAAGACCCTTCTTCTAATCGGATAACTCAATTTGGATTAAAATATGGAGTTACCAGTACTTTTCAGGTTCGGTCTTATGAGCGCTGCGTTCTGTAATAACATCACTAACCTCGTTGACGGAGGAAGTAGGCGATTTTAGCGAGTACTGACTACCCAAAGCGTTGTCTCCACTGGAGATCCCTAGCCTCTATAAGTTTGATAGATCTGGTAGCGTTTGTACCTACTATAATATGACCGACAATAATAATACTAGTCCTGTATGCGCGATGGGATGGCTTCGTAGACACCTGAAAACATTCGCAGACGAAGTGCGCGGACTGAATTTTACTATGACTTGATCTTAAGAAATTCCATATTGTTTCCAGCGTCCCCATTTCGAAGTCGATTTTTCCCGCATGTTGTGATAATCCACCTATCCGATATTCGCAGTTTTAAAGCATCGAAACATAAGGGTTCGCACGAAAAACTCTCTTCATTGATTGTGTGAAGCTCTGTCTAGCAGTAACCCGTCTCTTGCCTTTTAATCCTCCAACTCAAGTGAGTTGGGAAGCTAATAGTGTTTTTGTTGTGTTTTGAGCTAGATGGGGTGTATGTAGGAGAATGCACATTCATAAGATCATGATCATAGATGATGCCTCGCTGGCATTCTCGGAACCCTACTCTATTCCATTCTTTCAACCAGTCAACCAACATCCCATGCTGCATGTAGTTAGGCCACAATTTTTGGAAAAGTGGGAGAAAGTGATTCGATTTATGGACGCCAAACGCAGGTCCGGTCGTCTCACAAAGTACAGTAAAAATCTACTAACGAAGGATAACTGTCACCTGGCCGTTAAAAAACAACTACGAAGATCTTACGCAGTCCGAAGATTTGTACTTGGAATCTTGACGTTCTTCTGTTAAGGGAAGCAATCACCAAGACCACACATTAACAAATCTTTTTGGGCAATTCGAAATTTTTATCCAAACTTCCGCTTAAAATCAGTGATTTTTATCTGTTAAAAAGACAAGGATAATTCTTGCACTCTGACCTCATCGACAGTGGTAATGCAACTATCATTCCAGATGTCATGGTACAGGATGACAGTTTCTGAAATCAGCCAAGGCGTCTGTAGACATCCTTATCAAGAAAGCAAACTTAGTTCCATAATTATCAACGAAAAGTTGTTAGATTCGTAATAATTGTAACATCCCTCGGGGGTAATAGCGGCACAGGATTTGCACTCCATGGGACTGTGACGTTCCATACTGCCAAAACAGTTGAGCCTAGGACGTTCTCAGTAGGCAGTAATTTCAGAGCTGTAAGCTTAGTGTGCGCCAGCTCTAAATGCAAACCTGTATCCGTGGCACACGCGTGATGGTGCAAGTCATATCCGGCCGTCTGGGCTTTGTCTCGTCAACAGAGGTGGTAAGTGTGGGAAGAGAGTGAACTATGCGCAGCGCATGAATCTCACTTGAGCACTGTTCCAGCCAAAAGAGTAGTGCTCCGAAATATTGTTTGCGCTGTTTGTTGCGCGATCTGCTCTGCATTATTTGGATCTGTCAATTTTATGCAAAAGACTCCTAGGTAACAATCGGGAGATGGCACCCAAAAAATCCGTTACCTAGAAACAATACCTTTAACAGTGGACTCAAACGCCTTCAGGCTATATCAGCGGTTGCAAGCCTACTTTCACGCACTACTTGGACTTTCCGCGACGGCCTAACACGGGCTGGCCGAACGAACATCAAAGGAGGTTATATGGACGATGGTCGCTGTTACCCAACCTTCCCCATCGTTACACACGTACACCTGAATATAGGGCATAAATTCGCATTATGGCAGTTTATTACTAAAAAAATCACTTTTAAATAGGATAAGTCTGCACAACATGGGACAGGAACAGTTCCCAGGCATCTGTCAAACACATGGCATTGGGGCCAAACCAAAGACGATAGTGTACTTCGTCTATCTGACCCCACACAACTCAACCAGATACAGGGCCTCCCTCGTGGAGTTTCCTTTTCAGTCTACTTCAGTATGCCTCAATGGCATTGGTGTGCCGTCCGGTGGTAGGGTATTTGAAGTTCTTTGAATGGTTAACAGAGAAATGTAGATAACCTTCTGAGGGAAGACGATTATACGCCTTCCACTCGTCCGTTACCACTATGCTGTCTTTGGCACCCATTTTGTAATAACGGAACGGAGAGCGGCCCAACTTCGATCATTCATCTGTTCAAATAAGGCTTCCGTCGGCTAGTATCGTACATCCCGACCAGCCACCACCCATAAAGCCCCTATTACCACCTGTCCCGTAAGACAGGCTGCTTTGGTTAGGCGGATTTTTTGGGTGCCATCTCCCGATTGTTACCGACTCCTGCCTTACCTCAAAAGTTGCTTTCTACTAGTCGATCCATTTTTGATGATTTTGGGATGTTTGTTATCAGAGAGCAATCGCTATTTTGGCAAATATTCACGAAACAGGTTCCGTTTCTGCCCCTGCAGTATGTACAGGTAAGATATGCATGAACTTGCATTCAAAGGCGTAACATGCCCTGGGACAAGCAACTTTGCTAAGAAACAGACCAATGGAGTGAATTATTGTAAAACCTGCTGTGTGAGACAGTGACCCTCGGACCGACAGTACGGTTAGCCTACAAGTAGTGGCTGAGTGTCCAGAAACTGTTGCATGATAAGTGAAACAGCACCAACTCTTGGTTGCAAGACTAAGTCCGTCCCTTTTTAAACTTGCGCAGGAAACCATAAGTGATGTTTAGCAAGTTGTCACCTTTAGAAGAGGCGGATATTCTGATACATTTGATTAATAAGACGGGTGGTCGCGGCATTCCGAAGACCGGGTGAACTAACCGTAACTGTACTTAGGTAACCAGTGACACTTATAGTGAACTAGACATCATGCAACTTTTCCGAGTACAGGGATTTTACGACAGACTGCATGCGGAGGGCGTTACTGGCCAAGGAAATGTACGCAGATGCTATGCTAGTCGCTCAAGAGGATTATCAGTTCATATACCGGGAGAAATAATAACTAACTGAGAAAGTATGCCATTCATGCTCTTCCAGAAGAATTGCACTGAAAGATACAGGAGGAAAAGGCTTTGCTGGTGCGATTAATATCCAAAGGTAGAAGTGCACCGCCCCACCATTTGCTATCTACCCAGACATGCAGAATAGATCTGGACATCCAGTCGCCTTGGGAAGCCGGTCTGTCTCAGAACTTAGTCCTAGTAAAGTTAAAAAACTAAAAGTACTCTTTGTCTTATAGCGTTTCGGCGACGCTCTTTCAACATCGAGAGAACCTGTCGCAGACAATAACTGGTAAGCTTATTGAGCGCATCCGAAGGACATTTAGTGAAAGAATCACGGTGCGCGATAACTCTCTGAACACCGACTAGTTGTGCTTTCACCAGAACAGTATTTTATTACTGTTTGCGTTCATTTCCTCCGGTTATTTGTAGCGCTTTGACAGATGAGGGCTTACTGCCTTGGTCTAATTTCAAAAAATAACGACACAATGCTCAGTTAGTTCATTTTTGACAGCATCGAGAGCAGAATACCAACACTTTCCCGCATGAATATATGGACAGAGATGTCTTAGGTCATCACTATGGTAGCAGGAAAACGTCGCAGTTCCGACAGAGACATTCATTTAAATAGGCCTCCATTCATATCCCTTGGTGCCGTCTTTGCTCTGACGTTCATTGCCGTAAATGGACTTGCCCTGCGTTTGCACCCATGGAAGAGTTGAATGTTATCTACTTGCCTGTGAGAAAGGAACCGGTGTTGTAGCATCCATATATTAAAACCTTCTTTTCAGGAAAGTCGTCAGGCTGCGTGTGCACTTTCCGAAGATTGAACTGGTGGACTGCCCAACATCTAACTAACAGCATTCTAGCGGCACTGCGAACAGGGACAGCCAGGAGAGCTGTTTTTTAAGGCCTTGGTCTGAACGGGTCTAAGGTCCAACGGCTGAGTCATATGACTCCGGCGGCCTCACTTTTCTCCCCACAGCATGGCAACTAAATGTGATTCGAGAATGATTTAAATTGGCCTCTTTTGTTCAACGGCGCTCCATGGGTGCGTGTGACTGGTCTCCGCCGGCTGCCGCTGCTGATCAGTCAGCAGTGACGGATTTGGATTATGTAACCCTTCTCTTCCACCGGCCCTATGATGGTAGTCACTCGGGGTGACGCGCAGTGATGATCCAGAGCCTTCGATTGCAACGAACGATCAGGGCGCCCTCTAGTCCAGTTACGTGGCCCCCGGGGGCAGCCCTGGACTGTCAAGCGGCGCCCACAGGTCGGTCCCTGATGATGCCACGCGCCCAGTCTGATCGCGGAAATCGAAGCGGCCACCCGTCACAAATCTGTGATCTCCACATACAGACAAACACACATACAAGCCTAAACGCCTCGCGGCTGAGAAGATGCCCTTTGGGTCATCATTGCGAAATAATCTATTTAATAAGAGATTTGTACATATGGCAAAAGCGTCTAACTCTGTTGAGCAGTATCGGCAGGGATGGCTGTCACCAGAACATTCAAACACCCGTGAAGGCAGGTTCAAGTGGGTGTTTGCGGTGGTCACAATCAGAAAGGATGTTTTCAATGGAATAAGAGATGGCACACTTTTGGGGGGCTGGTGGTGGCGGGGTCCTCGAGGCAGCACTCCACTCGCCGTCGCCCACCTCAGACATCTCAGTACTGTCCGACTGATGCTGGGCCGGGGCTAATTGAGAAGTGGGGAGTTCACTAGCAAACATGGGTGAAATATGGGTATTGCCCTGACACTGAGGTGAGGAGGGTAGGTTTATTCCAAGGGGACCACAATCAGGCATAAAACGGGTCAAATCAAGGGCCGTAAACTCAGGAAGGGGACCCTGGGGGAGGTGTGGAGGGAGTTGAGAAGGGAGGGCACCGATGGAAGAGGTGATGGCTTCTCTGCAATGGGGAGGCCGTGAAGGTGGTGCATGGCTAGAGGGAAGAACGGCAGATTCCGCATGTTGGGTTTCCGTGTGTCGCCGGAGGTCCACTTTACGTTGGAAGGCTCGTGAACAGAAGGTACACGAGAAGGGCTTGAAGCCAGTGTGTTTTCGGGAGTGGGTAATGAGATTTGAGGACTGGCTGAAGGTCTTCCCGCAGAGGACACACTTGTAGGGCTTTTCCCCTTTCCAGACAAAAGTGGAAACGCATGATATACAAGTGTATAATGTCATATCAGCACCGAGTACTCAGTCCATGGCAAATGCCGACTAGAACATGAAAAGGTGCGTTGCGACAAAATAGTCATGATGCCTTTTTTAACTAAGTGGGTTCCAAATCGTAGTTGATTAGCTAAATATTCTGGTTTTAACTGACTTTTGTGGCACCTACCTGTGTGTATGTATGTGTGCTTCTTCATGTCCGACTTCTGATGGAAGCGCTTGCCACAGTACTCGCAAGGGTAGGGTCGAGTCCCGCTGTGGATGAGGAGGTGAGTACTCAGTGTGGAAGAACGCTTGAAGGTCTTACTGCAGTGTGGGCAACGGAAAATCCTATCAATGAGCACTTCTTCTTCAGGTTGTTGCAGTGGTTGCTGTTGCTGCTGCAGCAGCTGATGCCGCTGTTGGTCATGAAATGGCTGAGGCTGTTGTCGTATTTCCTTAAAGCATGTATCGTGATTGGCGCCTCTCTTATCCTTGTGACACCTAGACGATAAAGGAAACATAATGGCAGTTAACACTTCATATTTCTTCTAAAAAATTAAAAATGAAGACAAGCCTGGAGAAGACTTTATGGAATATATCGGTTAAGCTAGCTCCGTTTTTACCGCCTGTTTCGAATTTTTGACTCGGTCAACTAGGATTGGGGCCGATACTGTATCCCCGACCTGACCTTGGCAGTAAGTTCAGCCATGAAAAGGCGCTCATCACCGGAGCTGAAGAAACCTTCCTCTTCGCTTTTGAAATAGCGAAGTGAGCAACTATGCCAGTTTATATCATCAATTGGTTGACCGGCTCGGACTGTCGACTGGTGCAGCGGAGAAGGAAGATCTTGACGATATCGACTCGGGGAACTCAATTCAGAAGGCATTTCAGCGCATTCCTCACTATATTATGTCTGAAGGTCTTGAAACTATCATGGCACACTGAACGTCGTGGGTTGGAAGGTTGCCGAATGACAATTCGACTCAAACCTCGCAGTCAACCCTGGATGTGTGCTTGCGCAGTGTGACTGGCTAGAGGGCTGCGAGTCAGGTCCAATGACCCCTTCTTAAGGTGAGCGGTATGGCATTCCCGTGCATGTGAGGTCCGAGCTGGTCGTCTCATCTGTGTGCACATACGGCGTGTTGAGGGGGTGATCAGGTCGTGTGTGGCATGCGCAGACGGGCTATGCTGCTCTGTTAGCCACTTTCGCTCAATCCCCGCATCAGATGGCTGATGGGCTCGGAAAGCGAACTAGTGACTTGGATAAGGAAGTAATAATGAAGTCGATTCTGGGGACTGTGATCACACGACACGCCACAGCGACACCACTATATAAACAACCCGACGCGCTCAAAGCTATCAGAGCGCGTTGGGAGGCTACCAAATGACAGGGCAACTCGACCCCCTCAGGATGGAGAGTCGGGCTGCAACGGATCCTTCTGAATGCGACCTCTATGGCATTCCCTGTTGACATCGTTCCAGTTGGAAAATGGATGTAAGAAATGTGAAGAGCATACAGGATCAGTGGAATCGAGTGGCTGACGTCTCGGAGGGCTTGGCCAATTCTCCACTGTCAAAGTTTTTGTGCAAAAAATCGACCACAATTTCGAATAAATAGCTGAATTAGCTAGCCTTGGGCCGATAGAATTTTTACTTCTTTCGCTGCCTTGGCCTTCTGGCCGTTGTCCGTGAATGTAGGCGGCCTCCTGTGTTGCCTGTCGCCACCTCAATGGGGGTCGGTTGCACCTGTGCTCCCCTTTCGGGTGAATTATTCGACCGGCCGTGTTCGCTCGGTATTTTTAAACTCTTTGGAATAGTGAGGTAGATGCTGCTCAGGTCTAATATAACTATAAGCTATTTCACACTCAGTTCACCGTTCCTACACCTACCTCGCTCTGCAGCACACTGAACTTCGTCGTTTGCGACGCTCGAGTTGTCATGTCACCATGCAAGGAATAAAATGAGGTAGTTTCTGCCGGATAGTTTATTTGACGGTCTCGTCCCCGAAAATTGAATCATTCTTCTATATACAGCGTCTTTGAACTAGTCACGAGAGGTTTGAAAATAATGATTCCTGTTGTGATAAATCCTGATCGTGAATGATGAAGGCGGTTAGAAGTGTTCTTAGTGAGGTCTGGTCCTGCAGTCCCACTTGATTAGCTAACTAAAACAATCCTAATTAATAAATCTAACTTAGTATGTTATTACCGACAAAGACAACGGAGACTGGAATGGCCATTTCTGGTGTATTAGCCATCGTCATCCAGTCATACCCCACCCCGAAGTGTGGAACACCTGGAGCTCGAACTCGCGACCTGTTAGTTAGAAGTTCAACGTCTCTAACCACCGGGCCACGGGCCCGTTGTCCTGTCGGTTTCGATAGGGAATATATAATGGTAGGGGGCGCTCGCCAATCTTTCTTACGGAAATAACTCGTTCCGTTGTGCCTTATGGGCTCTCTCTCGAGCCCAACCAGCAGCCACACAGCGGCGTATGATGTAGGCAGTGTGTTATTACCGACAATAATACCTGGTATTACCGAGGCTGGCGTATAAGCACTCCCCCGAGACACAGTCACTCGCTTGACTAAAATTGTAAGGAGGAGGAAAACACATGATATATGTAAAGTCAGTGTGATCGCACCTACTAAAATTGTTTTAGTTAGCTATCCGTATGGTACCAATCAGGTGGGACTGCAGAACTAAATCTCGCCGTGTTCTTTACCAACGAAGCTCCTTTGCAGAAGTTACACTTGGAAATGTTTGGTTCGATTACTGGGCTCGGTGTAGTAGAAATTTTGCTTTACCATAGTAGTCTGGTAATCTTATTTCTCCGAAAGATGCAACTTTTTTATCCTCACACAGTTTACCGGGTCCACCCAAAGACACAAACTAATAAGAAGATTTCTATTGAAAAAATTTGTTGGTCACAGTGCTCTTAGCTTTGGTGGGATAGTAAAATTGTTCTCGTGAATTCTGAATATGCCTCTCTTCAGAAGCATATTTGAATACTGCCAGAGGCTGAAGTATTTGCCATCATCAGAAGAATTCCGATCTTCCTCATATGCCCTATTTTAACCCCGTTTGCCCACAGAGAAGCAGGGTGGCCCCTCTGCAACAACGACCAATTTATTCATCGGCGGCCGAACTTCGGCCATCGAAGATGATTCAGCAACATTGCCATAGGACAAAAACTCGTCTTCCAACCGTCAGTCCATTCCACTGCTTCTCCACCCTCGTCCTTGACTAAATTGAATACCTCCTCTAATCACTGTGCATGTTCTTCACTGCGTAATATCAATCTGAAGTCATTCAGCTAGAAGGGATTTGTCGTCCTGCGTGGACTCATTGGCTCGCGACCACGTACGCGGGGTCGACAGTCTGACACAGACTGTCTAGAACGCACGTGCTGCAGGCGCTGTGCCAGTCATGTGGGGAAGGGAGAAAAGATCACGTGGAGGCTTGGCACCCACGCTCCTGAACCAGGGGTAACAATTTGCAAATGACGTTCAATCGCGCTCTCCGTCTGCGCCTTTTCACCAGCGCTAAATTTCATCTGGAAAATGACCTTTTCGGGCGAGGAATTTCAGTTCGAGAATTAACAAAATGCTAGTTTTTATGTTTTCCTTGTCAGCAGGCCTGTCTTCCGTCAGACCCCCCGGTGGGCCCTGGTGTAGCAGGCTTGCGATCGTTCATTCCATTTGATGATGCTTTTCGTCAAGAGAGCAAGTAAACTTCCTTTTTACCGGACCTCGTACAATCAGGGTTTCATGATCCCGTGTGCTCCAAGACCCCTGTCTGCCTTATTCTTGCTCGCCGGCTAACGTAAGAATAAGGGAAAATGGCAACTTAAAGCCTGACGCCCAAAACGGAAGGAGCTGTTTGAGCTCAAACTTGATTCACCCATAAAAGGGGTGGTCCTTGTGCCATACTCCTACCCCTTCGTCGCTGGACTATAAAAGCCAGTATGCACATGTCCCTTTTAGAGTCTGGTAAGTTACTCAGATAGGAGTTACCGGATGTTACTGAATGCGGAAGGGCTTTAATTGAATTTACTTGAATTTGTGTAATTATTTAGGTCTTAATGGTTTCCCAACCAACGTAGTCAGTACATAATTCAGATCGCTAGAAATAGTCAATGGATCATTAACTTGTAGGCCTTTAGAGTTGGAAGATTGGATCAACACAAACCAGCATTATTATTAATTTTTTTAAAAGCAATTATTCGGAAAATGAAGAAGGGTTCTGCTCAAAATTTTCCCAGAGTATATTAGGGATTCGTAAGTGATGTGCGACTTTTCTCTTTTTTTGAAAATCGACGCAACAAATAGGCGGTATATACAGTTTTTAATTCGCGTTTCGTTCAGTACGAGGGTCCTCCCCGAGTGGAGGCATAGCTTTCAAACTCAAGACAGAGTTCGTTTAAATAAAATTTTACTCGCCCAATTGTCGATGAAGCATTTTTTCAAAAATTATCAGCCAAGATTTGGGTCACTTTATGAAAATAATCGTTTACAATCGACAGTTTTTCACAATCCCGGCTATAAACATGCCTAAAGCAAGTTATGGACACAGGGTTGGGTAAATATGCGTAAAATGTAGCGTCATATTTTCCCCGACCATCGGGCGTCATAGCCATTCCCAATTTTTACGGCTCAATCACGAGGGATCCAGGGTCATTAACATACTTTGTAGAATGTCCCAACTCAGAGCAAATTAAAACTATTCACAACTGTGCTAGTTCTATGATACGCTTGCATGGACGACCGGACTATCCGGCTTCAGGGTTATCCAGGCATTGTAAGGGAGTGCTAAGGATTAGACCTCCTTGGTGGCCCTGCACAAATGAACGCATTAATCTGCTTACTGGGTAAGAAACAGGGCTAAAGCATGATCTTCCAGTCGTCAAAGTTGTTATTCAGCTCCACTTAGACGGTCCCTTTCTTATTGCGAATAGAGGCCTGTTATTACACTCCCTTGTCTAGTAAACACTATCGGAGGCCTCACCCTCTATACAAACAAGTAGAATACAGACCAGAAATCAGAGTTAGAACTAACCTTCGCGCGTGGACCACCAGACCGTGTTGTGTATTAAACTGTTTTGGACAAAAGACACACCGGTAGGTCGGGACAACACTGTCAGTAGATATCCGGACTGTATTCATCTCACAAGGTGACCCCTGCCACTCCTTATAGTCTGTTAACGGAGAGACTTCACTCTGGGACGTGGGAGTCTGGCCAGCTTCATCACCGAACCGCCTGATTAAACTACTTGGTTCATGCTGACAAACAGCCGTCGTGGCGAGGGCACCAGCCGACAGACCTTCCATACACTGGGCGAGAAAGACTGAACTGATGAAGCTGCGAAAATCGAAGCCCTGACTCTGCGTAGTCAGGTGCGTTTGTGAGGAGACGGGGCAACCCAGGGTCGTGACTAGTGGAGGCGGTGCCGGCAAGAATCCCCTTAGTGAGCAGGCCATTAGTTTCGCTGGGGTCTCTTCAACAGCTCGAGATGAAATGCCCGCCCTGCGCTGAGCTGTCATCAGCCGCCTGCTATTGCTGCTTCCGCCACCCGTCGGTCTAAAGGCTCGTTGCCATGGCGATTGGAGGGTGGTCGATGTGAGTCCAGTCTCGTCGCTCGAGCATGATACCGTTTCCTCAAAAAGCGTACGACTGTCTGAAGTGACTTTGGGGAGACTACCGGACCCGTGGTTGCCTTCGAGCCGGTCCAGACAATCCAGACGGCTGCGTTTGTGAAAGTCGGGCCGGACGGTCGTTGTGCGGTCCGGGCTTTGCCACTCCTCCTTGTTTGCTTTTTATGAGGGGAAGAATTAAATAAGACCTGTAAGTCTCACAGATATCGTCTACATATTCATGCAAAACTACCCAGTCAAACTGAGGGGAAAGTAAGTATATGGTAAAGCTGGGCACGAAACTCACCTTCGGCAATCCACTCGGAAGTTGAGGGGGAGACTTTTGAGACCAAACTTTGGTGGGTTATAGTCGTCACCGGAGACGTTTTGTGGGCCTCTTCGGCAGAAGGCTGCAATCTTTTTTGTGCCTTGCCTAGGGCTCCCGAGAGACTATTAATTCCTTCAGATAGGAAGGTGCATTCTGTGGGAATTTCCGGTGCCAAAGCCACACGCTGGTATTGGGCGCTTTCTTCCACAGAGAAGGAAGTCCCTGCCAAGGTCTCGCGTGCACAAGGAAGTGGGACAAGTGTAGAGAGTGGTAAAGTTGATGGTTGAATTGAACGAGGTGTCGAAACATGACTGCCCGAAGTGTTTTTAGCTGACTGAACAGACAAGTCAACTGCTTCGCGCAGTGATCCTGCAGCCATTCTGAAATTCAACCCAGATTGCGAACAGTTCCACGTTACCGGTTCTAGTGTTGGTCTGAGGCTGGTGGGCAGGCGACAGACTGAAATAATCAAAAGGAAGTTGCCTCTTAATACACATTTGACCTCGAAAGTGATTTATAACCCAACTTTAGTATAAAATACAGCTTTATCTCTGAAGCTTCTATTTTTAGGAACTTTGGGATCCAAAAGATCTCGTCGAAGCGAAATGGACTAACATGAAGGTGATCTGCATCAATCTATTCGGACTACAGGGCGAAAGACAGAGGACTGCGGTTTACCGTAGAGACCCGATTTAGAACCCTCGCGGGTGGTCACATAACGACAGCAACCGACGAGTCAACAAGACAAAGACTTGGATGGTCGTCCCGACCCATTTGTCGTCACCATCTGTGTTCTTTTCTACGATCAGGAAATGTCTGCGAATGTCACTTCCATGCAATGGGCCCGCTACTCAGGATCACGGAGTTTGACTGCAATGCCCAAGAACTAGACAGCTCAAGTGGTTGCCTGATAAATGCAGGCAGGCCAGAAAGAGTTGTCCCAGCCTCGCTTGCCCTGTCGGTAACTTTCAAGAAGTCAAATAGTTCATCCCCACATAAACCCTCATTCGCTATTCATATAAGCCCGTTCGATGTTTTTCATCCTTCTTATCCTGTGTAAGTAAACTGACCCTTTTAGGTAACCCATAATACTATTGTTTCTGTTGATGAAATGATAGCACGAAAAACAAGGTTTCCGACCAAAAAAGTCTTCTCACTTTAGTCAGCAGAGTTCGCCTTGAAACCCTGTCTCAAGCACTGTCAGAGAAATGGAAACGGCGATCATTTACATACAGTCTGCCCATCTCAACTGGGGTGCGAAATTGTGTGCATTTATTAGAACTCTGAAATTTAAAACGTCTCCTCTTAACAAGGGGAAGTATACTGTCTGGATATATTTTGTCACTGCAGCTTATCTTGTTCATGAAAATTTTCGGTGGTCCCACACGAGGACGTGGAACTAATTGAACGTAAAGAATTGCCGTCTCCGTACTGTGTTTACAATGACAAATGTAACCATTTTCTCCAGTTATTTCTACCCATAGTCGGATCCACATGTGTACAAAACTTGCGAATGAAAACTAACGAGATTTAACTTTCGTAAACTTCCCGTTCCTTTGTTTCACTGACCTTGCTTTCTTAAATTCAAACAGGAAAGCAATCTTCTCATAATGATCCGGCACCCTCACACAAAGTGCCGTTCAACGGAGACCGAGTTTAATTCAGCTAAAACTTCACCATAACCCAACGGCTTTTGACGCATTCATAAACCAACGTCCGCGTGAGGTTTGGTTTCGATCTCACGTGCCAGTTAGTGTTAGTGACAACTTCACAGGGAGTGGCATCCCCTTTTGTGCAAGTCAACTAACGACTCAATGGCTGAATGCTGTGAGGGGTTCAGGAGAAGGAAGATCTGCATTCACTCTCCTTTATCAGTGCAGTACCTTTCATGGGCATTAGACAGCAAATACTGCCGAGACTGTGCGCCATATATCTTGATAGAATAAAGCTGTGGCATGGGGCGTTACGCTTATCTTAGAGAACCACATTGTCTGTCGCAAATTTTAAAATATTGTTCAACGATTCACTCTCACAACTCGGCTATTACATCTTTTTGACATGATATTCCACACGCGATAAAACTGCCAGAAATAAATAAACTGCAGAGGAGTGGGGTAATATTTACCAGTCTTCAATCAAAGCGGCTCGATGCAGGTTGTTTACCCCGCAGGTGGGCACACGAATTCCTAAACACGCCTGCTCTTTGAAATAGTATATTGAATTAACACATAATGGGAGTTTTACCTGACAGCAGCACTATAGGCAAGTCTGACAGTGTCACATGTAGTCATTTGACTTGCAGAAGGCCGCACTAATCGTTTGCTACCTTCGTAACAATGGTCTGCTAGGGTTAGAACAGTAAATGGGCTTTATAACGTCCTCACCAGCAAGGGACTGGGGTTTGTTATCGACGAAAATGTAACAGGAACAGCGGGACAGCATGGAGAGACAGCAAATAAGCATAAACAGATGTGCTAAATCGAGCTAGGCAAAACACACGAAAACGCAATCCAAAAGAGGAAACATTCGAAGCAACCAGCCTAACAGGGCTGCTTGGCTGGCAGTGCATAAACAATAAATATATAACATTAAATGACGGAAAATAAAGAGTACGTTTCCTAGGCCCGATAACAAAAAGCAGGATGAGAGACATGAACAAGTGCCTGATATATACGGCAGCTACCGCCTCGTTTGAGAGCGCAGAAGGTGGACTCACAGAAGAAGCAGAGTAACATCTCAAAAAGGAATCGTGCGGCAAGTTACTTTATGGCCTGTTGGCCAGCTAATTGAAAAAACTGCGCAGCCTGTCACCTCAAGTCGGATTTGTATAACCTCTAAGTATGAACTCGAAGATTTTGGGTGCGACAAGGCTGGATAGAGGAATCGATACCAATACTATCTGGTCCATTAATTATGTTGTATGTCCCAGTGAAATCAGAGCACGGGCAACGGAATCGGAGGGTTGGGAACGAAAAACTCTCGGGACCTGTCTTAACTGGCAAATTGGATGGCGCACCCACGGCCCATCTATCTAGCAGTTAAATTTTTCGGAGCCCCATTTCACTTACAAAGTATGAATACCAGACCAGTCAACAGTGTCTGATTTATGGCCCAGAGAGTTTTTCAGGGGCGTGGAAATATAACTGGATGATATTTTGGAAACTTGTACTGCAACCCACAAACACTAGCTGGCAGTTAACGGATTCGCGTGAGAAATCCTTCCTAGATCGACAGCGGAGAAAGCTCCAGGGGATATCCTATCTCCAGTCGGGAGGTGGGGTTTCGGCCAGTCCACTCTGATCCTGTTTATCGGTCAAACATTAGATAGGTCTTTGTGGATGAGTGTATGGCGGCGGTAAGTGAGGAAATATAGCTGCTTTGGTACACAACTTTGCGAAACACCACCGTGGACTGGAATGAAATCTGCCGTACCACCATCAACGACCACATGGAAAAACAGGTTATCTTGTAAGGATTCAATTCACTTCTGCGTATAGAGGAGGTGGAGAGTTTAACTTGAGGATACTGGATGGTCTGCCATGTCGATACTTTTTTAAGATCGAGAAAGAATCTTTCTGCAACTCCCCTTTTACGAATGCTTGTGGTAAGAATTCTCACAAATTCTGACAGAGAAGCTATGCCAAGACCTGATTGGAAAATGAGAAATAGATACACGTCAATGCTGACGCCCTTCCAATTGTTTGGTAATAACTGCTCTTATTAAAGAAGGCCGTTTCTTAATATACATACTTGACAAAACTGGCCAAAGCGTGAGACCCATAGGAAGTTTTAAAACTCTGCCGCATATGCGATGATTTCAAAAAGTTGACAGTCTAAATTACGCGCCTGTCCGAGGTGGTTGAACCGCTTTCTTTGCTTCTAAATATGCACAATGTAACACGCACACTGATACCAACTTGAAATGAAACAAAAATTGGTTCGGGTGACAGTGTCATAAGTCTGCGGCACTTCAAGGATAAATTAGACTAGATTACTAGGTACCATCGCCCGAAAATAGCACAACCCCATCTCAGAGCAGATGAAGATTTCGACACAGAATGTCCAGTTGTTACTCGATGCAAGTGTAGAATGTTTACCAATTGTAAGTGTAGCAAGTGCGGTAGCTTTGCTTAACTTGGACTTTGCATGAGTTCTTTGTTGTATCGCGGACTGCAGTGTACTTTCCAATTTCAATGCACAGACCCCCTAAATCGCAATAAACTAGATGGTTTGGAAACGCCAGGGGAGCTCAGGTGAACATATTTATTCCGTCAATTAGAGCATTCCATATGACGGACTGCGAGAAGCAGGGAATTTTAGTTATAAATATGTGCTGCGAAACTGGGTATGACGGCCGACCGAATGGTTATGATCCTGTCATATGAAGGTAGTTCACTTTTCAACATTTTGGATCATATTGCGGAATTGTCGAGAGGTATGCCTGCATTGACGCTCGCGGGAAGTTCGTTCCACTGACAAATAAGAAATTGTTTTATTCTCCATTGCACTTCTGGACAACATTTTACGAAGGAGCTATATATTTTCTTTTGATTCGGTCCTTGCACTGACTGCCTAGGGCACTTATGGCAAATGAAATTACCAGATCTGATATCCGAATGTTAGCGTGGATGTTTGCCTGGATTTAGCTGATTTGGACCAGTCTCTTACGTGAAGAGAAATTCGTGCATTCTTATCTTCCATCGAGCCCACTTCCAATATAGTCGTGATAGCTAAGTAAAGAAAGGATCTCCTCTAGTCCACCTTCTGCATGCCGGTTAGGAAATGATTCATAAAAACGAAACTCCTGCTCAGACGACAAAGCTTGAGCGAAACGCCCGTATATATTTTGAAGTAAATTTTAATATCTTGCTTAGGACGTCCCCGTCATGGGTAAAATGTAAACTCTCAGGTTGCAGGAAGATTTCGCAATACCTGTGGCGACATTGAACTTGGAATCCTTTCATCGAGATTTGGTTCACTTCAGTTAGCAAAACCAGTAACGGACCAATGAAGACAAAAATGAGTTAACTTTGAAGCAAACCTTATTTAGTACTTTGCGGTTATTCAACAAAGGTAGTTTTCAGATGAAAAAGTCTCACTTTCCCAAACCGGCCAGTTAGTACGGAAGGATTCAACTACTCCAGAGGTATAACACGTGTTTTTAACTTTTTGTAGCGGGCTCTTCAGAAGATAGGACAGAACTTCTAAGTTTAACCCTTCAGACAGTTCGGGCCCTGACAAACATAGTTGCAGACCATTTATTTGATTGACTTAGAAGATGCGGCCTCCGGATACGAAGAATGCTTAACTCCCAAAATTAAAGAGCATGACCGTTGGGACGCCATCTTATAAATGGATGCAAGCAGACTTTCAAACAGGAAACAAAGCTACTGACTCACTCGTCGAATCGGGTTCACTCAGGATATAGGGAGTTTCTTGACTATGGAGGAATTGTTGCATATTCTTTTGGTTCGTGGTCCGACAGGAGATGAAGAACAGATCGTCCACGTTATACTCAAGTAATCACATGCACCTTCTCCTGTGAGAATGCACCGGGATTTCCAGACACAGCCATATAGCAAGGAGGCAGACCTGCATGAGCTCTGGGGTGTTCTCCAACGGGACACGTCTTTTGTTCTCTGTCGAGTTAGCTGCCCACATGTACTCACGAATGCGCACGCCGAGAGAGTGCGAGAGAGAGAGAAGGGGGGGGGAGGGATGACAACTATTCTCACTGTCCCCTTTCCTACCTTATTTCAGCGTACCTAATCTTCCCCCGCCTCCCCCTCCCACCCACTTTAATCCCTACGCCCCACACTAGCATATATGCTCAAGAGGACCGAATAGGTGGGAGGGAGCGAAGGTAAAAGGCGGACTTCTCATCGTCGAATGAAATAGCGTACCGACAGTTTACCCAGCGCGATGGATTTTTCAATCTCGACTCGCGATTGGTCAGATTTCTAAAAGTGAGTTGGAGGACACTGAGTATTTCAGAAGGGGGAGGCAGGGCGTGGTAGAGAGAGGGGGAGGGGGAGAGCGAAGGAGAGAGAAAGAGCAGGGGTGCAGGGCAAGCACACAAATCCCAGCGTTGCCTTTGAGCATTCTGGTTGGCTCGTCCATCGGCAGTCCCCTAAAGCTTGCTAGTCCAATCTTCTCTAACAAACCCGTAAAATAAGCGGTCAGTACCGAAGACGGTTTGATGGTGCTGGTTTTGGCCAGAACTCAGCCAACTCAAGTATAGAACCATGGGAATACCGCTGGAATTAGTCGGGGGGGGGGGGAATAAAATAAAATGCTTGCTCAGCTGCATCTTAGAAATAGAAAAGACCGCCCGAAAGTAATATGGTGCTCCAACAGTTTGCCCTCCTGTCTTGTACTTAAGCACATTTTTGTTGCAAAACTCTTAGGAGAACGACACTTCAAATCGATTTACTTGCTCGAACTCTAAAAAAGGTTGATTGATTAAGAAATTATCTTTAACCACCTTATGTAACTTCGGCAAGTTCGAGACTCTAAAGCTCATAAATTCGTCTTAACGAAGGAGGAGTAGTGTTGGTTTCGTGTGAAGATAATAAGCAATGAAAGTAGGCGTGGAATACCGATTATTGTGTGTAAACGAAAATTCTACATAGCCCGGTGTTACAGTTACCCTCGCAATCACCTCGTCTGGATATGGAAGAATTAAAAATGCATTTTTGTAAATTAGGCCAATATAGGACTGAAACTTAAACCTGATTCGTGTGATCACATAAAGTTGCCTTCCTTGTTCTTTTGGATGTCAAGTAAAAACCAAAATCTCAAGGGATTAGCGCTGTATGCTGAAGTCCATTTATATTGAGACTATCAGTGCTTGTTTGGTCCATTTTGACACAATCATCAATAAAGGTTGAGGAGGGTGACCGACAAACACAAATGAGACAGGAGTGGCCCCTTATAACTTGTCCGTCGTCATCAGTCGGTTTCGAACTCCGGTGCTTCCGAAGTTTCAAATCGAGGCATTGAATACTTGGGCAAGACAGGGGAATAGGAAATCCCTTTCGTAATGCAGGTGGTCTTAGGCTGAATGCCAGGAAGGCTATCTATGCCGCGTCCTAACCCTGACTCAAATTTCAGTCCTGGTCCTAAAAGTAGCCCTACTCTCTCTGGAATTTAGCATAATTTCACCTGTACTATGGGAGATTCCTATTCTTGCGTCTTACCAACACTTGTGTCAGCTGCCCTATCAGTCGTGCCTTGTGTCCTCGTCGCCATCGAGAAAATTCAATCATGCGCCATGGTGGAGATCACTACCACGTACAGTTCCGTTCTGCCATTAGAATGCGACGGTGAGAATGCGTCTTTTAATGCATAATAAGGTTGTCCTATCTGACAGTCAGTATTTGACAAAGTCACAGTGAAGTGGAACAAGTGACGGCCTAGTCCTTGGCCAGATTCTAACGCTGAGTACCGACAACAGCAAAACCCGTAGGAAAAGTAGGCTGTGGAATTAACTTATTTAATGTAACGAGGAATTCGCCAAAACTCGATAGCCCTCAACCTCTTGCATGTCAGCTGACTAGGGGTGTATAAATTTAAAAACCAAAGTGTTGGGGAAAAATGTTCCCCAGAGCGCCCCCTGTAAGTATGCTCCGGAAGCAAAACTTCAAGTTTGCAAGAAGTAACATCGTAAGCAAGAAGTTGCGGCGCTAGTAGCCATGTATTTGCTCCCACTGTGCGCCCATCTCCTGATTCCAGATTGTTCCGGTGATTTTCTGGGTACGTTTGTGGAGTCAGCGAACTCAGAGGAGTCTAAAGGGTCTACTTTTCCAACCATCTCAGCTTTAGTGAATTGCCGCTGAGACAGTAACTGAAATCGTTCAAACACGTTTTGGCCAAGAACTGAACTGTTTGCCAACATCAGATTTTTCCGAGCTAACAGGTAGGATTAAACCAAGTCTGCACCACGGTCACGTGTACTGCCCTATAAATCTTGATAATTTCCCCAACCAAGGTTTTTTATACGTCATTTGCGAAGTAGGGAAACATTCGGAAATCAGATAGTGAGGACCCAGGCACCTACTACTAGCCCCGAATTTCCTCAAATGCTTCATGCATCATCAAATATGATTGTGTTTGGATTTCAGTAAGCCTATTCTTAGACAATCAACATAATTTAAAAAGGGTGCGTGCATGAAACTTCCTCCAAATTCGGTAAGCGGAAAATTCGATAAACTCATGTCAGAAGGAAAGTGTTTAAAACATATCTTTAGCCTATATCGCTGCCTAAAAATGAGGAGAATATTTTGGCCGGTGTGGAAATCAGGTAACAAGGATTAGGGTGAGATAGAACTTGTTGGGCACTTTTATTTTCTCAGAAAAAAATGTGTGAGCTTGAAGCACATTTGTACTCATAAACCTAAAGTGTGGTCAGAAATTTGATGTGAATATTGATGCCCAAAATCCGTAAGCTTCACTGCGGTTGAGCCACGCAGCCATACAACGTCGGCGACAGAGGTGTCCGGGCAAAGCAGCCAACATAAAAACTTGTCGTCAACCTCCCCCAGACAGTGCTGGAATGATTTATCTGTTTAGGGTTAGAGTGTAACTAGAGTGAGGTTGTGCCATCGGTTTCCGCTTTCAAATTCTTCCTTCTGAGACGTCGGTTAGTGCCTCCAAGGGAAGGGGGAGCTGACGAAGAGTGTATCTAATCTAAGGAACCTGAGTAAAAACTGAAAATATATGTCTCACACGAGGCGAATCAGCATTTGACTAGACGCGAAATTAACAGACAAGGGCAGGGCCTCCACGATGGACCTATCCAAACGCCTTGGTGTTCAGTATCCTCGAATGCAGAAAACAGGATGGTGGAAGCTTGTGCTGCATCGTACTCAGAGGCACATGTTCTGCTCAGTTCATTGTAAGTATTTTTTGTCATATCGGACTGCCACTCCGCTTAATATATTCCACCTGCCCGCCAGATTTACTCAGGCCAGAAATCTGTTAGACCACTCATATCGGCACGTCTATTCATAATGGGACTGTTGCCCGACAAGCTCCTACCTTCTACTGATTTGTTTGCCATTTATCGGGAGGGTTAGAACATTACGAATTCTGCAGTGCGGTAAAGGGTGGCCTCTTCCTATCAGAACTGCACTCAATTCCGCCTGATGAAACTGTCAATCTTACTCGAAGTTAGTCAGCGACAACAGTAGCAGGTCTCCCTCAGATGAGTAGTTAACTTTAAAAAAATTCTAATTAAGCGAGAAAGACTTCTGTATTTCATCCAGCGGCCTACACTAGTCATCGAGATTCTCAGGCAACGTCCATTAAGTTAAGATGAAATTGCCATGAAAATCATGTTGCCTGTTCCTTATGCCCAGAAGTACAAATAGGAGACAGTTTTTAAGGTTGCATCCTCGGCTGAATAACCGCGTAATGATCACGCGGACAAAGTAAAAGTTGGAATATATTAAATAGACGGGACTGCGCCATTGGGAGCTTGATTAATCTGTGTCAAGACTGCAGTGAAAGGTTCCTACCCCACAAAATATGGTAGATAACTTTAACAAGACCACACCACCGTAGAATACCCCGCAATTCTTCGTACAAGTATTTTAAATTTCACGATCTAGGTCCACCCCTCCTGCACTGAATCAACAGGGTTACGGACATTCGTTTCTTGCAAATGTCCTTACGAAAAAAGTGCGATCCAGTCTTCATTTAACCTTCTCGTAAACCATAGCAAATGAGGCTGAAAGACAAGAGGGCACGCCCGGGGCACTAATTTCCACTAATCACGTCAACACACAGGATACCACCGACCGACCATTTTACATAGATGAGTGACTCTGGGCCTGGAAGAGGGCATTAGTTCTTCCTCCTCGTTCACTACCGTCTCTCCATCAATTGTCTGCCACTAAGTCAGACGGGAGTTGGTACTATCCTCGCGGCAAGCCCAAAAACGACCCAAACGTGAAGTCGCGTGGGTTTATTCAGGGTTTGATCTGATGCATAAGTCATACAACCAGTACCCAGGCAGTTACCCACACTAATGCCGACAGCTGGACCCGCTTCTTCGTACTGAAAGACCCGATTTGAGGACGCGGGTAGCGAAAGCTTTACCATGCATTGGTCGGACCAGGGTGGCCTCCACGAGGGCTGGATGCAGACGATACCGGGGGGTGGGGCACGGGACGTTAGAACTGGTCGATCTTGTTGTCAGGGTGAACGGATGGGGGGATTGCCACCCACTCCCAGTAGTACGCCTCTCCAATTCCACCTCCGGAGGTCTAGGCAAAAATAATTCAGGCGAGACATTGTCGGGATGGAAGTTCTTAGGCCTTGCTTGGCGGCGGGGAGAATAACAGGTATATTAGCTCGTGAGATGTGGTAAAGTTGCACCTCCGGCGAGAACTAACTGGGACTTGTGTGCCAGGAAGTCATTTGGTGGAGAGTTTGTGGCCGAGCGCTACTCACTAGTA